GGTGGTGGTGGTGGTGGTGGTGGTAATAATGGTGGTGGTGATAATAATGGTTTTGATGATGGTGGTGGTGGAGGTGATAATAGTGGTGGTGGTGGTGGTGATAATGGTGGTGGTAGTGGAAATGGTGGTGGATCTAGTACAAGAAATATAGATTTTCGTATTAATTCTGTTACACAAATAATGCAAACTATAACATTTTTCAAAACGTCCGTTATTTCCAAGTTCTCATCAAGTATTAACATAGTGCAATCCACAGAGCAAAACAGTTACACGAGTGTGGTCATAAATTCATTAAATTCTAATCAAAAAGAATTCCAAATGAATGTCGATTACTTGGACAGTATTGTTTCGGCAACAGTGGATTATATAACTGAAACTACAGAATACGGTTCCGATGAATATTTTGAGGGGCTAAATGCAGTTTACACAGACACTGAGGAAAAGATGGAAATTTTGTCCAACTATATTGAAACAACCGTTAGAAGAGCTAACTATTTTTCATTGGATGGTTCGGAATATATACTTATTCAGCAAACCACTTCGTACAAGGATTTCGTTATTAAAATGTACCAAGTATTTGGAATAGATTACGAGGAAGTATATAACACAGAGGATGATGCTAATTCATTCATTACAAACAGCATTTTAAAATTCAGTGAAGTGTGCTTAACTTTAGTTACATCGGTTCAAATGTCAGAGGATACTTGTTATAGAGAATTACTTTTATTAAAATTACAAAAAACTCAAAAAATGTTTCTAGAGACATGCGATTCCATAAACACTCAAATTAATGAATCGCAAGAGTTTATTAGTCAAAGTGATGCAAATAGCAAAAAAGCTTTTTATCAAGATGTTACGGAATGGGTTGAAACTATAACTGTGGTTTATTCTGGTGTTCTTTTAAAAGTCAATTCATATTCAAAGAGCACTACCGTGAATGTCTTTCAGTCGGAATTTCAAATTATTCAATATCAGTACACAATTATAGAAAGCTACAATCAAACGATAACAAATTAGTAAAATTAAACGGTCAGTGTACAAGAAAAACAAGTAGTAAAACATAGTGGTTAAATTCCAGAAAATACTATAGAAGAAGACGTAGTTTCTCAACCATAATTAGATTCCCAAAAACACCCTTCGTTTTTTTTAGCTCACATTAAATTACTCTTAAAACCAATTATTTTGTCACGTATTTTGAATTATGTAACTATACAATAAATCATGATTATCTCGATTAATCTCTATAGCAAGTATAGTTTAGTATCTTTATTTTAAAATTACTATAAAGTGCAATCATATCGAATAATAAAGTTAAATATAAACCTGTTTTGGTGCACTCTAATATAATTTGTCATTGTTTTTTAAAAGCAAAATTATTATTTTCATTTATTTTTAAAACGTCAAGAAAATTTTTTTTTAAGTATAAACAAACTTTTATT